ACTTCTGGTTATTTTCATGAAACAAATATTGCATTGTTCAAAGTCGACCCCCCCTCCATATTAGGATAACTTTGGTGCAAAATATGCATTTGATAATCTCTAATGATTGTCTCAAAGGAAAAGAAGTTTGTAGTCTACGTTTTCTAGACTAACCAATTAAATTTTGACTAATTTCACAATTCAAGAAATTTTTATTAGGTTGATTGTTCTAAGCACAGAGATATCCCAAGGTTTGTCTGGACAGAGATGTTGATGTTCAGGGACCGACAATGGGGAGAGTGAACAGAATTTTCTTTGATGCAACAAGTTTAGAGCAACTGTGATGTTTCTGCTACTACTATGAATGAGAGTCTAGGAGTTCAAGAGTGTGTCATTAAAAACAAAACAAAAGAAAATCCCGAAGCTTTAATCCTATGGATATAAGGTTTCTGACTGCAGCTTCTCAGTCATTTGTCTTCAAATCCATCTACTGTTCTAGTTGGTGACTCCAGCAGTGGCTCTGGAGGATGGGTGAGAATTAGATACAGAGCCTTTGCTTCAAGTCCCTGCCAGTAACAGATATACCAATAGGACATTATTGCTGTGCTCTGCAACCCAAGGGAGAGCCAGGGACATGCCTTAGCAGCCAGACCATGCAACCCCATGCAGCAGGTGGTTTGAATCTCCTCCACAGCCTGACCACAATGTTCCATTGATTCATCACGTGTTCTATCGACTGCCTGCTAGGAATCATACCAAAACTAAACCCATTGCCTTCAAGTCAATACCGATTCATGGTGGCTTCTCGTATTACAGAGTAGAATTGCTCCAGAAGCCACTCCCCAGGCCTTACTTCTTGAATGCCACTGGGTGAGTTAGAACTGCCAATTTTGTAGTTGTTGTTGTTGATAAGTACCGTGGAGTTGGTTCCGACTCATAGTGACCCTGCACAGGGTTTCTGAGACTGTAAATCTTTATGGGAGCAGAATGCTTCATCTTTCTCCCGCGGAACCACTGGTAGTTTCGAACTGCTGACCTTGAGGTTAGCAGCCTGATTCGTAACCACTACACTACCAGAGCGTAGTAGTGAAGTGCAAATCACAGCCACCTGTACTGTCTTCCAAATGTATGAAAGGTACTTACTGTGGTTTTACACAAATACACAAATTGTACAGTTTTTACAAACTGCGTTCCTATGCACCCTATATGTGCCTATATGAGGGAGTTTCAAAAATTATTTAAGAAAATTCATGGTCTTTAATTCTATTTTTCATTTTACTTTGAATTGGGTAAAGGTTTCCAGAGCAGATCAGTTTTCCATTCAACAGTTCATACAAATTTTGTTTCATCTCAGGATAACAATGTCCTCAATGTAACATCATTTATCCCACTTCCTCCTAGTGTTCCCTATTACCTCCTTGTTTCCTAATTCTTCTGAACTTTGTCCTTGAGTACATGCTGCCTTTTTTTTTTTTATCTCAAATGGTTGATTCTTCTAAGGGGTGTGTACCTCCCTAGTGTCATTGTTCCCCTTAGAGAACTGTCTCTTGTTTGGCTGAGTAGTTCCATTTTTCCATGAACTTTTTGAAACCCCCTCGAATGTGTGCATAATATGCAAACACCCAGTAAGTGGTGTTTGTTGAATGACTACACAAAAAAGTCAACTTCACTTTAGTATCTACCCTGATGGAACTTTGTTACGAGGTATGCTAAGGCAGCACAGCTGTGTGGTTGGCATTTTCCTTCCTTTTCCCAGGTGCAAGATTCCAAGGTACCAGTGCAGTTGTATGGAGAAGCAGGGCCCCCATCCTTTTCTCTTTCTCAGTCTGTCCCATGGACTAGGTTCTAATGAGCAGGGAGATGCCTAAGAGCTGAGGAGGTGGTAGACAAAGAGCCAGAACCATCCAGTGGCCACTGACTAAAGTGAGGATGTGTCAATGAGGTGGAGAATGGGAACCCATGGAGGAACCATGGAAAGGTTATATACACACTTGGTTAGACACTGTAGTAAGAAGCATTGTGAAGTAAGGATCCCATTGTGTGGAATGTGTGTGTGCACGCCTGTGTGTGGTTGAGTGTGTGCCTGAGTGTACGTGTGAAAAGCAGAGTGTATGTGTGAGCTAATGCATGTGTGAGCAAGACTGAGCATGAAAGTGTGTGTGTGTGTGTGTGTGTGTGTGTGTGTGTGTGTGTCTCAGTTTGTTGTGGAAACATATTCGAAAATCCGCAAGCAGAAATTTTAGAGGGATAGAGGCATGATTTCCTTTGGGAGTAATAATGCAGATGGGGTTGGTCCTTTGAAATTCTCTTCCTTAAAATCATGGTTGCTCCTTTAGTGAACCGATCAATAAGGAAAAAGTAGATTGTGCTGGCAGGCATGGTTGTCTTTGTAGAAGGCAAAATGTTCTGAAGCTCTTTGTTTCCTCTTTCACGTCTCCTGTTAATCACTGCTGACAGCCAAGTGCCCAGGAAAATTAAGATAGGAACAGCCAAAGGTCAAAATATTTGGTTCTATTTTTTTTTTTTTTAATGCTACGTAACATTTTGCACAGATCAGAGCGGTAAGTATTTTAAATGCATCATGCCCAGTGGACACAGAATAATGTACTGATTATAAGAAAAAAATGACTTCTGTGCACACAGAAATGAGAAGGAGGGGAAGCTTTGTCAAGAGGTTAGTCTGAACTTCCTTGGCATTGTGATTAAAATGTATGGTGACTTGTTTTTATCGGAGTGGTAAATGATCTCCCAAACATCTCCTGAGTAACTGCTGGCTGTAGGAGCTTTCCCTGTGTTCTTTGTGCCTTCGTTAGCATGTATGTGAGGAAATATGTATCTTCATTAAGTGATGGCTTCTGTATTTGGAAAGGCTGTTAGTAAAGCAGAAGATATTGCAGTCAAGCTCAGTCTCTTCCCCCTGGCTTTCCACACACACTCTGGAGTGCTACATCCTCAGTGCCATTTCCATCTCTGTCTGTCGGAGTCAGGCAGTTGACATGAGCTTGATTGTGTACCGAAGATGCTTCTCAAGCAGTGCATTTTAGATTTTATTTTTCAGTGAAATAGTTTCAAGGACAGCAATCATCATAGCATAGTGGATTACAAGCTGAACTGCTAATCTCAAGGTCAGAAGTTCAAATCTACCAGCCACTCCATGGGAGAAAGACTAAGGTTTTCTGCTCCCGTTAAGATTTACAGCCTTGGAAACCCTATACAGGGTCTCTATGAGTCAGAACCAATTCCAAGGCACACAACCACCACCACCAGTTCCAAGGAATGACTAAAACATAGTCTCAGCTAGTAACTAGCTCCTTTCTTATAAAGGAAAAGGAAAATTACTTCTTTTTTTTTTTTTTTTCATGTAAAACATTATTCGCTGAGATGCTTTTCCTGCTTGTGATTTATTAAAAGGTTTTTGTTTCTTTTTTGCCCTGTTGTAACTGGAAGTTATTTTTTCTTTGAGATGGAGCTAGACAGCAATGTTCCCTTGTATGTATCAAACACCAGACTCTGCTAGGAAACCTCTATGATTCTGCACTGCTTAAGTGTCCACCTGTCAGCCAGACACTGGGAGCATCCTTAGGAACCACAGCTCTGCTTTGCGCTGCTCTCCCAGCTCTTCAGCACGGACTGTGTTCCAAGCAGACACCCTGTGTCGGCACCTACTCCTCTGTTATCATCCTTCTCTCATCCTTCACACCCTCTTCAATAAGTTTCCCTGACTGCTTCCACCCACACTCACTGTTCTGTTGTCCTTGTTGTTGTTGAGAACATATACAGCAAAACATACATCACTTCAGCAGTTTTTGCATGTACTTGCTATTCAGTGACATTAATTACATTCTTTAAGTTAGTTGTGCAACTGTCCTCATGATCCTTTTCTGAGCACCCCCCTCCATTAACATAAACTCACTGACCTCCAAAACTCCTAGCTAATCTTTCTAGTTTCAGCTGTCAATTTGATTACATTTAGATCATTTTTAAAAGAGCATGATCATCAAGGTAGGGTTTTTTTGTGTGGTTGTTTGTTTTAACTTGTTAAGCTAAACTATTATTTGGTTGTAAGAAGACCTTAGGGGGGTGCACACTGATCGCTCCTTAGCTGGACACTGATTTTACATGCTAGTGCTTGGATTGTTGATTTTATAGGTGCTCTAAGGAGTCCTAGTGTGGTGCTATAGGATAAGCACTGGACTGCTAACCGCAAGGTCAAACTCCTTGGAAACCCTACACAGGATTGCTATGAGTCAGAACTGATTTGAGAGCACTTAATAACAACAACAACTAAGATGTAGGATAGGCACTGGACTGGGAACCACAGATCAGCGGTTTGAGCCTACCAGCAGCTCTGAGGGAGAAGGATAAAGCTTTATGCTCCCAGAAAGATTCACAGCCTCAGAAATCCCATGGTGGTGGTATGCCATAGAGTCGGTTCTGACTCATAGCAACCCTGCATAGGGTTTCCAAGGCTCTAAATCTTTATGGGAGCAGAAAGCCCCATCTTTCTCCGGCAGAACCACTGGTAGTTTCGAACTGCTAACTGTGAGATCAGCAGCCTGACTCATAGCCACTACACAGGGTCGCTAATAGTCAGAACAAACTTGATTGCACTTAACAACAACAAGGTGTATGCGTGTCTTTTCTTCCCAATCAATTTATAATTATCTAAGAGTTGACTTTAATGCCCAAGCATAGCACCCTTAGTTGTTGCTGTTTATGATCATTGAGTTGGGCTGACTCAGACCTGTATAACAGAATGAAATACTACTCCATCCTACACCACCTTCACAAGCACCTATAGTAGGCACATCATAAACACCTCTGAACAAACAAATGTTAAAGCATTGTTGCATTTAATACATTCTGCTAGTGGGTGATCTTCTTAGTAGATCTGATATAGGAACCAGCTCCCTAGCTCAGGCACAGAAGCGAGACGTTGGCTCCACCCTCTGTCAGACAACTGCATGTTCCCCTGGTCATGCCCTCGCTGACACTTCCTGATTCTGTCGTTTACATTTCAGTCCTACATGGAAGACCACCTGAAGAACAAGAACCGCCTGGAGAAAGAGTGGGAGGCACTCTGTGCCTACCAGGCAGAGCCCAACAGCTCCGTGGTGGCACAGAGGGAGGAAAACATGCAGAAGAACCGCTGTTTAGCTGTGCTGACATGTATGTATTGCCTCCTGTGACAGAGTGCATTCCTGTCTCCGTGACGTTGCCACTGGGCAGGGGAGGGAAGGTGATCAGTTACCCACAGTTGTAGATTGCACCTTCTGTAGTTTTCTCTTTATTTTCCCACCTATAATTCTCAGAATCTGGAAAGCCCTCCCCTCTATTTTCCCCCTTACCACCAGTAAGCTTGTACTCTGCTTTCAAGAATATTGTAAACGTCACCTCCTCTGCAATGCCCTCCCAGCTGAAACAGTGCAGAATTCATTGCTTCCTCTGTGATTCAGTGGGGGTGGTCATGGAACTGGGTTTGGGGGGCATCTACATCCAAGAGGAATGGTTACTTTGTTGTGTTTTATTAGCTGTGTGATTTGAGACAGATTTCTTAACCTCTCTGAGCCTTGTCTTCATCTGTCATTGGAATCAGACTCCCTTTCTTGAAATATTACTGTTAGGAGGATTAGATAAGGCTAAGCTAGCACCGTGCCTAGTACATTGTGAGCACAAAATATGAGGAGGCTTCAAAAAGATCGTGGAAAAATTCCATAATCTTTTAGTTCCATTTGAGTTCATTTTTTCCCATGAACTTTTTGAAGTCCCCTGGTAAACAATGGTAGCTCTTACAGCATTTTTGCCTTACAGTTATTTCAAGTGTTGCCTACTGTATAGCTAGATATCATTGCCAGAAAGTGGAGATCTTTAAAAAAAAAAAAAAAATCGAAAATAACTTACTATCCAGTAGAGGAGACCGAGTTTTATATTAGCCTTTGCATGTGATGTGATCAATGCATTTACTGCTCGTAGAGCGCTCACCAGCACTTACAGGGACCAGGTAACTCTACGTGGGCATTCGGGGCTGGGAGGAGGACTCCACTGGGCATTTCCCCTCAGGACCTGGTGCTCCCAAGCGCATTTCATTCAGTGCATATGAATAATATGCCTCCTCTCTGCTTAACAGGTACCATGAAAGTTTTTAGACTTTAATTAATACATAAATTTACCCCACAAGGAGGAAAGATATTTTCAGTACGTTTGTGATCAAAGTTCTTGGCATAACTAGACACTTTTATAAGTGTTGATTTCATGAGTGAACAACGAACAGCTGTGTGTGTAAAAATACTCAGTTACTGTTATAGAGTTGCACTGGGTCTACATAGAGTAGATGGCAGTGGACTTGGTTTTACTGGACCCTTAATGTAACAGGTATTTATAAATACTTGGGGGAAAAGTGAAATGCCCTTTAGCAACTTGCTTTTAAAGAGCACAGCTAAAGCAAATGAAATTCCAGTGCAGCACTGCAGACGCATACAAGACAATAACAGTCATGTTGTCACAGTGTGCCTGCCTCAGCTCTCTGGAGCTAGTTCTGGGCACTGGTCTGATGCCGTCCACCTTTGCCTGTCAACTGACCCAGGTAATTAAGTGCCTTCAAGTAGGTTCCAACTCATAGCAACTCTGTGGATGGTTCCCAAGGAGGGCCTAGTGACCTTAAACCACCGACCTTGTGGTTAGCAGTCCATTGCTGTTCCTACAGGCCATCCACCTTTGCCTTCAATGGACCCAGGAGAAGCCACTATATTTGCTGTCCCTTAAACAGCAGGCATTTAGTCAACATTTATAGGTTAAAAAAATATAAAAACTAGAATCTTGTTCTTTAACAAGGTTTTTGGGGAATCATAGACTTTTGTGAAATCCAAATAACACTTAGCATTATAATTTTTTTTTTCTTCTTTACAGTTAAGTCCGTTTTCAGAGCAGGCCCTTCATTTCTGTGTGGTCTGAAGGGGTTTTAGTTGTTGTTTTTTTTGTTTTCCTAATGTACCATAAAAGGAGGGGCTATTATGATTTTTCAGTTTTGTATTAGGTGAAAAGCAAATCAGCAAAGAAACTTAACAGACATGCATTGTTGAAGTGCCTACTAAGTGCTGGAGACTACTATAAAATCTTGGGACACAAATATGAACCTGCGATGGTCAGTGTTCTCAGCAGATTGTTTAAAGGAGAGGTTGAAGTAAATCTTGAATAATTTGTTGATTTCTTGGTCAATTTGTATTCAGTAAGCACACATTCCCTGGTTGGTGCAAATAGTTAGCATGCTCAGCTGCTACTGACAGACTGAAGGGTCAAGTACATCCAGAGCCATCTTGGAAGAAAAAACAGAAGAAAGAAAATCAGACTTCGAAACCCCTATGGAGCACATTTTTGCTCTCACACACATGGGGTTCACCATGAGTTGAAATTGACTTGATGACATATTGAATATCTCTCATGTGCCTAGTTGTTTATTAAAAAAAAAAGATTACAAACCCATTGCTCTTGAGTCCATTCCAACTCACAAAGACTCATAGGTAAGACTGCACCATAAGGTTTTCAAGACTGTAACCTTTATGGCCAAGTCCTGGTATAGTGCTGTAGGATAAGCAGTGGGCCTACAAGGTTGTTCAAACAACCTACAAGGTTGTTCAAACTGCGAGGCTGGCGGTTCAAACTCACCAGCCGCTCCTTGGAACTCCTATACAGGGTCACTATGATTCAGTACCTTGCCTCTGACGTTGGAGGTCAGAAAGAAAGAGGCTGTCTGTAATTTGACCGGTACCTCCTCTCCCAAATGAACCAAAGCAAACCAGTTGCCATCAAGTTCATTCCAACCCCATGTGACCCCATGTGTTTCCGAGTAGAACCAGCCTCCATAGGCCTTAATGATGATTTTTTTCAAATGAGATTCCCAGGCCTTTCTTCCAAGGTGCCTCTGGAAGGACTTGAACCCCTAAGCCTTTTGGGTAGCAACTAAATACATGCACCATTTACACCACCTAGGGACTCTGTTGTTCTCCTTTAAGCCCCTTTTCCCAACGTTCCACCAACGATTATAGTAGCACAACCCCTTCCTTTGTCAGAACATATGCCTGGCTTAAGGTTCTCAGCTGTCATAGGTTGTGAAAAAGTAGTTTTGTTGTCAGAGGTTGAAAAGTCAGTCATGGAAGGTAGGGCAACCTAGATGAAGAGGTCTACTTGGAACAAACTTGTATCACCTCCTCCTATCCCCATATTACTAACCTTCTTAACTGCTATAAAGAAATCTTATCACATTTCAATCTACAGCTCTTCTTAAACAGAATAGTTGAGTTCAGGGAGAAGATAATGATATTTCTTAAATTCCTGTTGGTTTTGCCAAATTCCAGTAGAGATAATTACCTCCTCTCTTTCTTCACCCCCTGCTTCATGTTTTCTGGCCATTATACTTTCCATGGCTTAGAACTAGCTCTATAATAAAGCTATAAAAGTTGAAGACTATTGGCCTCGGGTGACACCATATCTCTGAAAGATCTTATTGATTTATTATAAACATGTAGACTGATGCTCATGATAACAAACAAACATTAGTGTAATTAGGATGTTCCTCCTCACCAGCCTCCACATTTTTGGCAGTGGTGTTATTCATTTCATGTCTTAGACTAGAAACCTTGGCATCATCTCTGCCTTTGCTTCTTTGTTCATGTACTTTGCCATAACATTCACCAAATCTACTGTTTCTCTGTTTTAAAAGTCCTGTAGGTTTGCCCCTTACTTACTCTTGTCTCCACCACCCTGGGCCTCCTTGAGTCTTTTGGATCTTCCTGTCTCAGTCCCTACCCTTTGAACCCATCCTAAAAGCTGCTGCCTAACTTACCCTTGGTAAATCCCAAGAGACTAAAATGATTTCCTGACTTTTAAGATACTTTCACATTCATACCCACCAAGTTTATCCAACTGGATTTCCTACAGTCTGAGCATCTCTGTTTCTGTTCTACTCAAGAGGTCACCCGGCACCATCCACCTTCTTTTATAACTTTGCTGACTTGATTCCTGTCTGAACTGTCTTTCCTACTCCTTGGCACTAGAGTGGTGCCACCTGAGTCTGGAAGACACTATACCTGGAAAAGTTGCACAGGAAATCTAAAGCGGTAGAGTTAGCCACTTTGAGGCCTCTTGTAACTCACAGGGAATCCTGGTGTGGCGCTGTAGGATAAGCACTGGACTACAAGGTTGGTTTGAACTATAAGGTCAGCAGTTCAAACTCACCAGCTGCTCCTCGGAAACCCTATATAGGGTCTCTAAGACTTGGAGCCTACTCCATAGCACTTAACAACAACAAAGTAACTCAGAAAGATTTTATGTACATCTTAATTATCATTCAAAAGAGAAGGGAATTAACATGTATTAATTGATTAACTGGCACTGTGCTAGATCTACTTATATTAAGAACTCATTTTGATTTTTAGAGGGCTTTTTTTGCAATTTAAAAAAGAGCCACTCATCTGCTTTTAAAATTAACAATATCATGATACTATTTTGGTATACTATCTTAAACCAAAAGAAGTTATTTTTGATTCTGGATTATAACAAGAGAGAGAAACAGACATTCAGAAGCAAAACAGAAATACTTAGAACTTAAGAGTTTGAAAGTCAAAAGACCCAGATACATAAAAACAGAAAGATGCATAATGAAGTAGACTTGTGTTGTTACTTACTGAAAGGTCTTTGTTACTACTACATGGAGACCAATGTTCACCAGTGGTTACCAGGGCTGAGATGAGAGGCATGGAAGTTCTTGCTGAAGGGTATTGAATGTTTTATCTGAAGTGCTGAAAACTTTTGGAAACAGTGACGATGATTGCAAAACGTGGTACATGTGAATAACGTCACTAAATTGTACACTTAACAATAGTTAGAATGGCAAACGTTTTGGTTTATATTTTTTACCACAATAAAATAAAGTAGGAAGAAAGATGGGAGGGAAAGAGGATATATCCCTGGAGAGAAACACTGAAGAAAGTATTACTAAGGAGATTGAAATTACAGCTCCATGACCCACAGCAGACATATTGGTCTTGCCCCTCCCTCGGCCTTGCCTCACAAACATGATCAGAGGAAGAGAGCCAGAAGTTCCCAGAAGTCTGGTTGTGCATCAGCTGCCTTATGGATGAAGTAATAATGGCTCCATTGACTTCCTGAGCATA